ACCAACCAACAGTGCTACGACACTAGCAGAGCATCTGGGAATTCTACTCAATTCTGATACTATCTCCCTAGAGAAAGCATCAGATTCTGTGGCCTTAAGAGTTCAGTTTCCCAACACCACCCTCCACTTAAGATGCCAGTGGCAAAGCCCAGGCTTCTGACCAAGTGACGAAATCAGGTGTCCATGAACCCCTCCTCAGGTTTGATTAATTGAGTAGAGCAACTCACAGAACTCAAGAAAGCTTTTACTTCCGAGAACACTGGTTTGTTATAAAAATGTGTAACTCAGGAACAGCCAAATGGAAGACATGCGTAGAGCAAGATAGGGGAGAAAGGCAGAGCCTCCATGCTCTCTCGAGGCTCACCATTCTCCCCCCCAAATCTCTACGTGTTCATCAACCAGAAGCTCTCTGATCCCTCTTGGGTTTTTATTATTATTTAGGCCAATTTGAATTATTGGCCACTGACAGCTGTTACTAATCTCTAGCACTCTCCCCTCCCTGGAGATCCTGGACCTGTGACTGGAAGTTCCAATACTTTGAATCATGGGGCACCAGCCCCAATCCTCAGGTGCTTCCAGAAGTCACCTCATTCACTTAACACCTTTACCATTCTCAACATTTAGAACATTCCATTAGGAGCTGTGAACCTGGAACTGTGAATGATGACCAAGTTTATATTTCTTATAAATCACAATAGCGCAGGGACACATTCTGCCTCATAACATGAATCCCTTTGAAACAAGGATTATAGAGAAGGTTTCCTACCAATGTGTTCCAAGTGAATCCTGAGGAGTTGAGATTTAGAAGTAGCCAATTATCTGAGAATCCCTTATCCAACCCTTAGAGCACAGGAAGGGTACCCACACTAAAAGCCCATATTTTTTATGTGACGCACCCATTGAATGTCAGGTAGAGGTTTACTGGTGACATAATTAACAGCAAGGGTCAACAGACTTGATCATGTGGCCAGGAGCTGCCTAGGGACATGGTGCTTTTGTTGCCTATTGGCACCCTATAATGGGATGGGTACCATCCGCTACAAAGTACCTATCTCCCATACAATTAAGTAAGCAGACCCATAAAAATCCCTTATCTTTGTAGAAGGCCGCACAGTTTCACAGAGTGTGAATGATGGGCCAGGTGTGTACATTCACTTTACAGAGAAAAGCCACTCGCTGGGACCCAGCACCTGGTGTCAGGCCTGGTTAAGCACCCCTACCTGAAGGCTTTATACTGGTGGTGGTTTAGTTGTTTTTATCCAAGGCACAGAAACGTTTGCTTTTTTTTTCTCATCTGCTAAGACAGTTCAAGGCCAGCTCTGTTAACCTGGCTCTCAGGGGCAGAGTCAATTGATCATGTGTTATGGGAACCAGGAAACCACAGGCAGACTTACCTGCCTGTGCCTGTTGCCACCTCACTCAGAAGACAGCAACAGAAAGTTTGGCCCAGACTTCACACGGCACATTCCTCTAGGTCCAGGCACTGAACGGGATACCTGTTAAGAGATGAAGGCTAGGGCCTCCCCTGGTGGCGCAGCAGTTGAGCGCTGGGCTGCAAAGCTGCCTGCAGCCTCTGCAGCGCCAGTTCGATCCCCAGCCGCCGGCAAGGGTCCCACATGGTGCGCAGACCTCTCCTGTTGTGCCCGCTGCTCCCTTCAGCAGTGTATTTCGTCAGTCTGCCTGTTCTGTTCCCCGCTCTGGCTCTGGTGAATCCTCTCACCCTCCCACGCTTCTGACTGTACCCAGTGCTTGTATAAATAAATAAATCTTTTTTTAAAAAAAGAGGTGAAGGCTAGTGGGAACCTGCAAATGTTGGCTCCTGTGAGCTCCATCACTAAGGAAAACTGGTTTGGGGCCTGGGATCTGCCTGGAGCCCACTGGATATCCTGGTGGTGGGGCACAGTGGGTAGCCTGCAGCCCCACAGGGGTGTGAGTAGGGCCTGGCTGAGTGCTGTCACAGTTTTGGAATGAGTAGTCCTCACTGAACAGGAAAGGAGCTGGCATTTGGTGGAATGGCCACTGCTCTGGCAATATGAAACAATTTTGTACTTTTACTTGTATTTATTTGTATTAATCCTGTCATAATAATGGGTAATAATTTAAGAGCTCTAGAGAGGAAAGGAAGCCAGGAGAACTTTTCCCCATCTTCTGATACGGATTTTCCAGCCTTGTGCTTTTCAGCCTCAGAGAACCAGCTTTGTTGTTTATAGACTTTTCTATGTTCAGTCTGTGTTATTTCTCAGATTTTTCAGCCCGAAACGTTAAGAACAATTAAATAAAAGGTGAGATGGGGAAGCAGGTGTGTAGGCTGAGCACTGTGTCGTGGTGATAGCTGCAGCCTGATCTCTTGGTATGGGCTTTTCCCCCACTGCTGATAAAGCACCTTGTTTCAAGGCCTGGCATATTTCCCCCAGGGTCTCTACCTGAGATTAGGAGGCAGAGGCAGGGAGGACATGCAGAGGTTTCACTGGGCTGTGTGTTTATCAACCATGGTGTCTGTCCCCTGTAGGGGATGGCGGGGGGGAGTGAGGGGGGTACCTGGCCTAATTCCCCATGGAGAGGCAGAGTGACCCGAGGGAGAGTGACCCTGGCCAGGCTGCCTTGGTTTGGGGTTTAGTTGTTTTGACTTGAAGGTTTGGTTGTCAGGTGTACTTAAAAGTTAATTCCCCCAGCCTGGAAATCAAGGAGTTATTGTTTTCCTCCTTTCAATCACAGGCATGTTTTGTAAATGAAGCACTGCGCTGACTGGAGGTTCCAGGTTTAGGGTTGGGTTTGTCTTGAGGAAGCTGGGGAAGGCTGGGGTTCCCACAGCTGGGGAGCTGGGGCACAGCCATTTCCTCTGGAGCAGGAGGAGCCTTTGCCGCGAGGTGCAGTGAGGCCAGGCACGTAGGCAACTCTGCCAGAGACAGCTGCCTTTCAGGGAGCTGGAGAAGGGGCCAGCGGCAGCAGGAAGTGGGGATTTGTTTTCTTCTAGAAGTGAATGTGACCTTTGGGGGCAAAGATTGGGAGCTGTTGACGGCCATGTGGCCCACATGGAAGCTCAAACACATCATTAAAAAGCTTTTTGCCTGCGCTCTATGCAGTGATACTGGTGTCCTTGGCTCTTTCATCAGGGCACTTAGTCACAGCACTGGTCAGATCCCAGAAGTGCAGATGGGCTTTGGGCTTAAACCTGAATTTGAATAATAGCACAGACCAGCTATTAGTTGACCTGAGCCTCTCACCACAGCCTCCTTGTGTAAAAAATGCTCCTTGCTGACGTGAGATTGAAATGATAGACTGACAAAGGACAAAGGACACATACTCTCCTCCCTGCTTCCGTTCCAGCACCTTGGACAGGTCACTTCCCTTCCCTGGCCCCAGTTTCCTCCTGGATGGAGGTGACACACCCGATTGGCTGCTGCCTGAGAGTCACAAAAGATGAGTGACAGGTTTGCTGTGGCAGTTATCAGCAGTAAAACTGTCAAGCATCATTTGTTGTGTGGCGCCTTAAGGAGTGTTGGCTGTAATTGTTGGCCAGAGCAGAGGCCCTGAGGACGGCAGCCTGGCTTTTAGGGAATGTAACAGGGAGTTTTGTCTGGACTGTGTCTTCATGACCAGGAAGTATGAGGACTGAGGCAGGGACATCTGCCTGTGCCCAGTCACATGTGGAGGCCTAGACAGCGGGCCAGTGCATTCTTATAAATGGAGTCAGAGGTGGCATGCAGCCACCACTGTCTTGCTGCGACCTTTTCCTGACTCTTGGCAGGTTTGCATCCCTTTGTGCCTTAATTGGTAACTTTCCTTATGGCAGTTTGTGGACAATACCTCCAGCCAAATCAACGAGACTGGCAGCAACAGACAATCAGATTTCTGAGGGAAGTGACCATTGGGCTAATTATTCACAGAGCTGCTGACCTTTAGCAGTGCGCTTGGGTAGAAGCCCCCAGAAGGCAACCTCTGGGCATTCAGTCGAGGCCAGACAGCTGGGTTTTATGATGAATCTTAAGTTAGGTTTCGTGCTCCCCTACATTACCTGCTGCTTTGGTTAGGAGTATTGAGGGTCATGAGACTAGACAAAGATGGTCTCCCCACAGGACCCAGTACTCCCTACCTGCCCCTCAATTCTAAGCCAATGATCTCTGCTTGGTACCAGGACTTAATAGTTTCTTAAAGAGAAGGCTAGGATGGTAAACTATGGGAAACGACACAAATACAAATAGTGCTGTATTGTTCTGTGATCAGTTGTTCCTGGTACGAATAAGAACTGGGACCCAGAAACTAGATGTTTTGCCTTCAGTAATAAAATGTGGGCTTCCTCAGTCATCTACAGAGCTAACTCTTGATTCAGTTTGAGGCTATCTGAAGTTAACAGTGAAACAAAACAAGAGTTGTTTGGGGAGTGCTCTCTTTTTTCAGTTTGTGGCATTTATGTAAAAGTTTGTGAATTAGTGACATTATTTGTGGAGTTTTATCTTCAGAAGGACATTTTAGCTGAATATATCATATAATGAAATATTTTGAATGATACACTACTTTGTGGTTGCAAATATATCTAATTTGCTTATGGAGTAAGGTACCACTTACAAGAAATCAGGTGGTTCTCCCAGAAGCACTGTGGGAAAGCTGACAGTCTGGCACTGATGGACTCCTGCTCTCTCCTACAAGGAGTAGCAGTTGTACCAGAGGTTCTTGATGTACTGTCAGACTTTGCTTAGAGTCAGGCTGAATCATAACTCTTCTGAACAGAACTGCTGCTTGCTGATACCCTGCAATTCGAGGCAAGAAAAGTTGGCTCAGATATTCCCCACTGCAGTGGCAGCCATGTCCAGGTGGTGGTGGGAGCCGGGTTTGGTGAAAGGGCCAGTCCTTGACACCAGCTGGTCTTGAGACACAGCCCCCAGCATGGGGCACTTCTCCAGAGGCCCACCCAGATGGCATCTTAGGCCGCATCCACCATCATCAGCTTCTCCTAAGAAACTCAGAATGTTGTTTACATGTTTTTATTTTGTTTCCTTCAGAATATTGACATTACAAATTTCAGCAGTAGTTGGAATGATGGACTAGCCTTCTGTGCCCTCCTGCATACGTACCTTCCAGCCCACATTCCATATCAAGAATTGAACAGTCAGGATAAGGTAAGGCAATCTAGGCAGTGACCCAGCTCCTGGCATCCTCTTCACCAAGGGAGAGGGATGGGTGAAAAATAGAGCCACAAACTTACATTATTAGTGTTTCACATCTATAGTGCTGGCTCACAATGGCCCAGTTCTACCTTGTCTTAGTCTGAGGTTGGGTTATTTGTGCTAAGTAAGCCAGCCCCTGACCCATTTTATATGGGGCATTTGGTGGGACATTTGGTTGGTTCAGAATTTCCCAAGTGATGGGCCCTGTCTGTCCTGGATGATGATGACATTTAGGAGTAGGAGCTTCACCAAAAACTGTCCAGAAGGATGGCTCAAGACGTGAGTGGTCTGGATAGCACCAACTGCACCAGACCAGCCGTTTGCCCCCTTTTGGACTAAGAATGGCTCAAAGTACAAGCCTCTGCAGACCCGACCATGGTCTGAGGTTTCACATTCAGGGAACTGCTCAGGGGCAGGGGCAGGGAATAGCCCTGCCCGAATGAGCACTGGGGAGAAGAGAAACCAGCCCCATCTCTCCCCTCCCCTGTTCCATTCCCACAGCAGCCCCTCCGACCTTCAGGCAGCCCTTGAATATCTCCCTGGGGTGCAAACTCATATGGCAGGTGTTTCATGCCAGATTTGAAGGTGCATTTGCAGGTGGCTCGGGCTGATGTGTTAGAGGAAAGCAAGTGTTTGGGGGCTCACTCCATAGCCAGTTGCTTGTGCAGCGGCCAGTAAGCATGGGAGCAGGACTTACAATGTAGCGGACTTGTTTGGTACCATGTGGGCGGGTATGCGCCTTTTCTGAGCAGCAGGTGTGGGCCCATTGCCTTTCTCCCTCCTTGCTTCTGCCTCTAGTCATGTTCTTTCTTTCACAGCGAAGGAACTTCACCCTGGCCTTCCAGGCGGCTGAGAGTGTCGGCATCAAATCCACGCTGGTGAGCCCCTTCTCCCTTGAGGTGTCAGTGGCAGGGTACCTCCTTTTTCTTAGGAAGAACTTCCTTATTAGGGGAGGTTCTTAGGTGTTCTGGCAGCTTGATCATGAAGGGCGTCCTGGGTGGGAACCCTGCATCAGCCGTGTAAGCATCCTGTCAGGTGTAGGTGCAAACAGAGTCTCACTCCTGGTCCCTGGGTGCTTTCTGCCTCACATGAAGCATCTCAAGGAAGTGCTCAGAGTTCAGTGGGTTGGTCCTGACCTCAGTGCAGGCATCCTTCCTCCAGGTTGCTTCTCAGAGTTAATCATCTTCCTTCACTGAATCCTTGGGTATAGAAGAAAAATGCTGACAAGTTTATGTGTCCCTATAAAGGCACAACCAACTGGTCTGTCAGCCTTTTATCTAACTGGAGTGAGGATAGGGTGAGTCCTGAGTCAAGGTAAGGTGGCCTTAGAGACTGAATAAGCAGTTCCCACACTTCTTCACAAAGGCCATGGGAAACTGGTTCTCGTGGAATGAGAAATGAGTTGTAGAAAACTCACGTGTTTCAGCATCTTCTTTAGGCCTTTGCTCAGGGCCTGCAGTAGTTCACAATAGATGTGCTTCTTTCAGGGCTCCTTCCTTGTCCCCGAGTCTGACTTCCTCGGAGAAAACACTTTTCAGTAATCAAAGGCAGTCCTTCCATAACTAGAGACACTTTCACTCCGTAACTTCGTGCTGAGCTATGGGGCGCACGCTGTATCAGTGCACAGCACAAGGAGTTCCTTAGACTGAATAACTCTGAGGCCAACCCAAGCCACCCCACATTCCTAGGACCCCAGCAGTTGCCTGACCCAGTACCATATCTCACCCCAGGGGGACCTGTCACCCTCACTTGACATTTGAATAACTTTGATGAAATATTTATATTGCCAGTGTGTTTATGTAGAGTTCCATAAATATATTGTATGAATTCATAGATAGAAGCTTTTTTTAGAGTACCTTCTATTCAGTTCTATAGAAGTATTTTCTATTGTCTAGGTATTTTACTTCACATGTAAAGTTCTGATATATAAGAAGTGGGTAGTTTTCCCACCTTGCAAAACTTCTGTAAGTCAAGATTCTTACACTGAACATATGCCAACATACACTGAACTGTATACCAAGTCACCAGTGGGTGGCCCTTTCCTTCCTGCTGGCTCTGGCAGCACGTTCCCTCACCTATAGGAAGGGCCTGCTAGGTCTGTGTTCTTCAGACAGCTCCCTTGGGAAGTCATAGATGCTCTCCAGCAACAGTGGGTCTCTCTTATAGATTTTGCTATAGGCAAAATCCAGGATTTACCAAGTTCCTGTTATAGTAGTGGCTCAATGTCACAGGTTGCTAGTATTCTGAATCATATAGTTAGAAAAGAGTGTCCTCCCTGATTTCAGGTGGCTGCTATGGAAGGGTATTAGAATGCTGAGCTCTGAGATCCTCCAGCACACAGAACAGACACTTTCTCGGGACAGTGTGGTTGTGGAGCGGGGGTGAGAAGGGCTCTCAGAAGTGACCATGAGGAGGGTTGAGGGGCAAGTGCAGGGGATGGTCCTTCACTGTGGTGAGAAAGAAGATGTGAACCTGTTGTGTACTCAAGCAGGGGCGGGCGGCTCAGGGAGGACGCGCTTCCCAGGGACACTGGGAAGAGATGGAGCAGACACCTTGGCCAGAGCTTTGATGTGTGTGATCAAACTTTGACCAAAATCCTTCAAGGTCCCCCTCACCCATACCTCAGCCCCAAGAACCTGTTTTGTGGGATGGGCCAGGAGGTGACCTGGAATTCTGACCAAGCCTTTCTTCTCTGTCAGGACATTAATGAAATGGTGCGGACTGAACGACCAGATTGGCAGAACGTGATGCTGTACGTGACAGCAATCTACAAGTACTTCGAAACCTGAATACCCCAGGAGGACCCCCCACAGATACCAAGAGACACCACCATCATTAGCTATGCGCCCTATAAAGCTTTCAGCAACTCTGGGCTGCCCTGTAGTATGTGAGCCTTCAGCCTGAGCCTCCGAGTTGGACGAACTGGGGCCTGTGTGGCCCATGGCTCGGCCAGGCTCCTCCCACACAACCTGTCCAGTGGTCAGTATGGAACCAACGTGACACTGATTTGCTGCCAGTTTTCTTTTTGAAGAGGATATTGAACTACATTAGTGCTGCGGGGTGTAAAATAAAGACTCCTCACAGTTAAATTTGGGAAAGGGGATTAAATTATGTGGACAGTTCATAAGGGTTGGTGAAAGCTTTAGCCCAGCACTTCTCGACTGCTTGCCTGTGTATGTTCCTTCACCTGTGAGAACCAGTAAGGAAATCCATGCCTGACAGGTTTCTGCCTCTAGGCACTTGACAGAGCAAGCCTTGGCCCCTAACATGAGCTTGGTTTTGAAGGGTGCATGTGACAGGGCTTTCCTGGCCAACTCAACTTAGGTATTTTTAAGTTGAGCTAACATGATCAAAACTCATGTTCCTGGCTTTCAGGGTCTCCTGTGTGGAATGATTCATGCAGCTGGGCCTCCATAGACAGGAAATTAACTGAGGGGCACCCCTCGCCCAATGTTCTCCTGACCAGTCCATCCGTCAACCTTGAAAGGACTTGGATCCTCAGTTTTGACTTTAGATTTCTGGACTAAAGAATTGGTCATAAGGAATTCTCCTACTTTAAAAAAAAATTTTTTTTTTTGTTCTTCTGAGCAATATTGGCAAAAATAGCTCCTGCTCCATTAGTACCAAAGGTAAATTATTTTAGTAAGAATAGAGATGAAATACCAAATCTGGACATTAGTATGGTAAAAGCAAAGAATGAAGTAGGATGTAGCAAGAGAATAAACTAAACAACTTTAGGAAGCCCAGGGAGTGTAATTTAAAGTCATTTATGGATCACTGAGACATAATCCTCCTAGGCCAGAATTGAAGAAAGTGCCTTAACTCTCCTTGCTATGATAGCCACCATGCAGAGGGGCTGGAAGGCCACTGCCCACCATGGTCACAGCAGGATGTCACCTGGGCACCACCGGTCAGAGATGGACTTGGGCTCCCTGTTATCGCTGCCCTCTCCTGGTTCTGAGTGACAGACACCTGAACCACAGCCCCTTCTGTGTGGTTTGAACCAAAGCCTTATTAGGTGTTTCTGTTGCGCTGGCTCAGGCTGGGACTCGGCCCTTCTTGGAACTTGGAACCCCCATGTTATGTGTGCCTGGCACGGTTGTTGTTGGTTTGAACAATGTCAAGACCTGTCGCATCCAGAACACAACTGTTTTTGGCATCCAGAAAGTAGTCAAAGGAAGAGCTGGCACCAGTGGAAGCAGGATCTCTGCCCCAGCCACAAGATGCAAGGACAGGATTGCAGCAGACTGCCCAGCCAGCTTGTGAACTGAGGCCTCTGTCTTCAAGCATGATGTTCTAGACTAGGAGTTGGACATGTCTATAGCCTAGAAACGAATGTGGTTGTTACAAAGTGGGGTGTGCGTGTGCGTGTGGCCTGCTAGCCTGAGGCCATTGGTGGCCAGTAAATGCCCATCTGCCCTACCCAGATGTCCTAACCTGACAGCTCCAGCTGCGGCCCCAGCTAGAGTGTTTTAAGGAAATGTCCATTTTCAGTCAAAGGAGAGACCGGGTGAGCAGAACCCAGCCAGAGCACCCCAGAAACAGCAACCCCAGTGGACTCCTGTCCCTGTCCTCTGTAACCCAATTCTGTTCTTATTTCTGCTGCTCCGTTGACAGTTCCCCTTTGCTGTCAGCTGAATGACTGTTAGTATAAGAATCATTGTTTTTTAAATGTCTCTCCATTTCACTTTTCCTGAGTCCCGCTTTTGTTCTTATTTGCCAGTCTGGACCACATGCATCTGACCTGTAGTCATGTTTGCTTGTTTATTACCAGGATGGGGAGGGCAGGGGAAAGGACTGTTTCGTCCTGTAAAGGGCAAGACTTTCCTGGGTCTACATTTCACAACTTTGTCCCTTCCTAGCCACTTGAGCCAGCCCTGGCAGCCGTGGCTGCTGCTGACGGGCTGCATGTACATGGCTGCTGCTCCCCCGAAGTGTGTCCTGGGCTGCGGCAGGGCAGAGGGTGGCACCGGGAGGATCTACCTCTGCCTCCCTTACAACAGGCTACACGAGCTGCCTGGCTAGGCTGCCCACATTTGCTTGTGGATCCACAGCTGAAAGGATTCCAGAAGCATAGCAATTTGCTTTTTCTAATAGGATCCTTATGACACGGTTGGCTTTATGGAATGGTTACGGATGGTCACCCGTGTATGTGTATGTGTATGTGTGTTTGAGACACTCTGAGGTGCTTTTATTCCAGTGGCAATTGATGTGAAGCCTCCAGAAAGTCATTTTGCCACTTCTCCCTTCAAGCACAAGCTTTACTGCAAAAGGGCCAGTTGTGTTTCTATTTCTCTCAACTACAGTCTTCTGCTGACGGATGATACTTCTTTATTTTGTTCCATTAAATATTCTCGAATTATTAAAATTCCTGAAAAACATCAAGCTTGACTTTTCTAACTCGCCCTTCCCTGTGACCCCTCTAACATGGCGACTGGGTGTGCAAGGAGGGCACTTCTGACCAGCCTCCACCCTCTGGCCACCTGTCCCCATGGTGGGGGAAGGAGCCGACTGGAGGTTGGGAGCCTCAGCCAAATACTTGCATCTGTAATGAGGGTGCTTACATGAGCCCAAAGGGTGTGGTGTGACCACTGAGATTCTGTGACAGGCGTGAAGACCTCAGAAACAGCTGTCCTATAAGGAGGGACACCCCATCATTCCCCAGCTTCAGCCAGCTGTGCAGTTCCAGGGCAAGGAGTTGATGCCTGAAGGTTTTTTTGGGTTTTTTTTTTTTTTTTTTAAATCTGTCTTCTTAGAGTTCTCTGAATGTATTAAATTATGGAGAAACAAAGGTAACATCAGTAATTGTACTACTCAGGGGCAGCCAGCCAGTTAAGCCTTTCTTCCTGCGCATCACAGGATGATGGTGAATCCACGGAGAACAGCCCAGGGCGATACTGCATCTTGTCACATTGCACATGTCATGTGCAGTGGGCCCCATGGGGCTGTCTCTGGAGCAGGGTAAACTGGGCTTCCCTTCCTGGGCATGAGACTCCCCAGGGTCAGAGGTCCTTCCAGCGACTGACTTGCTCCTGGGGAGGCAGGCACCCACCAGTCTGCATTGAATTGTGTCTTATTAGTGCTCAGAGCCCTTCAAATGCTGCTGACGTAGCCCAACCTCCTGAGCATAGCACCCTAGTCCTTGGAATCCCTGCACATGGGGTGGCTGAGGGAGGACACGTTGTGGCCTCTGCTCCCGCCAACTCACCCCTGTGGGGCCTAGGCTGTGGATCAGACACGAGCTCTCGGCCTCTGTAGTGCCTGTAGCCTGTTCTGGTGTGGTAAGAGAACACCGAGACAGACATGTTGAGCATGTATGCAGCAGGGACCGATCACATGGCATCTCTCGCAGAAGGGATGAACCCACCCAGAACCCCTGAGCAGCAGAGCTAACATGGACTTTTCTAGCTGCTACCCCACAGGTTTGGGGTGGGGGTGACCTTTCCCAAAACATCCCTCCTTCCTGTCATGCCTGTGCCTCAGGAACAGACTGTGGGGCAGACCACCTAGGGACACTTAAGTTGGGAAGCTTCACTTCCCAACCTGCTCAGAGCCTGCTGGCCTCACAAGGTGGCTCCTCTGCCTGACAGGGCTGCAAGCAGCTGGAGAGACCCAGCTCCTGATAGGGCCAGCCCAAGGGCTGTGCTTCCGTGAACTTGGTACTGACTCCACCTCCTCAAGCAAGCACCTCTGGAAGGGAATTGGATCTATTTTGACTTAGGGAATGTTCTAGAACCTGGGGGTGGGGTAGGGGAAGGGGTGTTTTTTTGGATAGAAGCAGGATAACTTCTCCGTTTTGGAGAAGTCTGGTGAGCACTTCAGGGTGGCCTGGTTAATTCCAGGGGATGCCTCCTTGAGCATGTGAGACAACAGCTGGGGGGCAGGGTTGGGGGAGGCCATGCACCCAGGTCAGAGGTGTGGAGAAGTTCAACCTGCACCAGGCCAGAGCAAGGGAAGGCCTCTCGAGCTCTGGAGGGATCACATTGCCAAGTGTGCGAGTCTAGGGTTCTGAGGGGTGGAAGGGAGGGAGTCTGCACTCCTAGGAGGAGACTGAGCCAGAAGGACAGGGGAAGAGCATGGCATGGGCAGAACACAGAATACACCTGGGTTCCCTTTTCCCCAGGCTATCCCTGCCCACGTGGAGCCCCAGACACTGAGACAGCACCACTCTAACTGACCTTCAGTTTCCATCTACACTGATAGGCCCAGTTCAGCTCAGAAACATGGGGCTCCTGCTGGGGTTGTTACTTGACGCCCAGAAGTTGACATGAGCTGAAGCATCTTCCCTGGGTGTTGGGCTGGTGGATGGGGGGCTGCTCAGGAAGCTGCTACTGTGGCTGCGGGCCTGTTAGGGAGAGTCCACAGACATAATCTGCCTTCTGGTGGCCTGCCTTAGTCTGAGCAGAAACTGGAACCCTGTGAAATCTCTCCACTTCCTCAGATCCCTAGGAAGTGTGTGGTGTCCCTCCCTTTGGGGGAAGTTTGGTGACCACTTCAGGGTGGCCTGGTTGATTCCAAGGGATGCTGACTGGCCCCAGCACCTTGGTCCTGGGTCTGGCATTTCTCCCTGGATGTGGCCCAGCTGGCCGCAGAGCAAACAATCAGGGGCCAGAGGCCGTGCAGGTGCATCCTGGACAGGAACAAAGAGCCAGTGGGGGTTGGGGGTGGAGGGTGGAGAGTCTGAGAAAGGAATTCTGCTGTAGGAGAAAGCCCAGCTGGCCCTCTCTGGCCTGAGGAACCCCATCCTGGTTGGGCTGGACGGAAGGAAGGGCAGGCACTCAGAACCTTCAAAGCCTGACTAGGGCTGGTCTGGGAAACCCAGGTCCAGAGGTAGAAGATGGGGCCTGCCAGGGGCATCCCAACGCCCCACTCTTACAGCACCTTGAGTCCTGGATGGTACCCATGTGCCTGACCTGAGGCGCTCTTTCAAGGCTGAGAGCACCCCAAGGAGGGTGGCTGAGAGCACCCCAAGGTTAAGACCTAGGGGACGGACTTAAGGTTCACGGTGCTAGGAGCACAGGCCCCTCACACGGGGGCCACAGCAGCAGAGGGCCCCCAGGAGGACCTCGCGGAGATTTGGTCAACCATGGGGGAGACAGAGTTTAAGAATCTCACTCCCGCATGCCTGCTTCCTGTCATCACTGAACTGGAGGGCCCATGACATGTGCTGTTTCTGGGCAATGAGTGGCTTCGCGGGAGACCTGGGTAAAGACACATGACACAGAACCACTGAAGTCGCTCTCTCCACCTCTGGCAGGGGCTGTAAGGGGAGGCTGGGGGCCTGGCTACCTTGGGGGAGGCCTCTGGGGGCCTGGGGAGCTGGCACTAGGCTGGAGTTGAGTCAGGCCCTGCCTCAAGACCACCTGGCTTAAGGCACCCATGCCCAGGGCCGAGACCTTTTGACACTTTGGCCCCAGAGTACCAGCTGCAGAAATGAAGCCTCTATTCCTTGGCATAGGGTACAGTTGTGGGGGAGAGGTTTGTGAATGACCAGCCACACATGGGGAGAGCTTGGTGGGAAGGGTACCGGGAATGGCAGGGATGAGAATAGTGGGTACCCACATGGGGGCTGGTGGACAAGAGTAACTCCCAGCACTGACTGTTGATCTCTGCTGCAGGAACCTCCACAGTTCCTTGTGGGCTGTAGATGAGTCAGTCCAACAGGTGTGGGCAGGGGGGCTTTGTCCCCCCTACAGGAGTTTCCCCCATGCAGTGGAAGCAAAGGTGGGAAGCCGAGGGCCTGGGGGGAGGGTGCCTTGCCAACACTGTCCGCGCTGGAATTTCATGGTCTCTTTCTGCACAGCTCAGGGGGTGGCAGGGCAGAAAGCCCCGTTTTACAGGTGAAGCAATGGGTCCCTCAAGGCCCATGGGAAAGTCACAGCCCTTGGGCAGCCCCAGCTGGTGGCTCCAGGGCAGGCCCCATGGGGAGGGGGAGCTCCTTCACTAAGGAAACAAAGGCTCTGGGAGGATGGAGTGGGCTCATTCAGTCCCCTATTTCCCATCAGAGAGGAGTGTTCCACAAAGACCTACACTGGGGGTAGGGGGAGATGAATGGGGCAACATAGTCAGGTAGGAGGTGGGAGGTTGGAAAGGCATCTGGGGTAGGGCACGCTGGGACATCCCCCATTTGTGCGTTCTCATGTAGGCCTTGCCCACACACAGTCTCAGCTTCTCCGAAGGTTGTGTCCAGGTCCCGATCCCTCCATGTCTGCCCTCTTCTGCTCACTACATCCTCAAAGGCCCCAGTGGACACTAGAGACACACAGGCTCTAGAGCTGGAACGCGCCAGGGAGACTGCCCCCTGGCTGAGGGTGGGACTGCGGCAGGAGATTGCTCCTGCCTTGATTTCAGAACCAGGGTCCAGCCAGACCCTTGCCAAGCCATCTGTCCTGGGCCTCTCTCAGTGACCCCACCAGCTCCTAGAGGCTCAAGAATGCAAGGGACGTGCAAGCCCTTAGCCATCATCTCCCGGGTAGTCTGGCACAGTCCATCCTGCTGTGCACAGAATTGGAGTTGCTCCAACACTTGTCCAGATTCGAGTTGAAGGCAGGTCACCTTGTATGGCTGGGTTGGGGCTATCTGTGAGGAGGTTCCCAGTTTGAAATCTCCAGAACACAGACCTGGGGGTGGGGAGAGAGCAGCTCAGAGATTGAAAGTTAGTCTTTGGTATGGATTGGGACTCTCATTCCCTTTGCAGAGAGAAGTGGTGTGAGGACAGGGCCTGATGGTGCACCAGAGGCTGGAAGGACGGGAAGGACCCTGGTCTCGCCTGGGGGTGCAATTGGGTCCAATTCTTTCCTAGAGGCATCCTTGGAGCTAAGGGTCCACCGGCAGCAGCAACAGCAGCATCACAAGGCAAGGCTCAGGAAGGAGGCGAGGCTGGGGACCATTTGCCAGTCCCTGGGGACCTTGAACACTCGCGAAAGGCGGCTGGACTTGCTCCTTCATGAACGGCAGAGCTATGGGAAGATTTGCGTGGCCGGGCACCGAGCGCTTCCCGGGGCACGGGTGGACCTGGGGGGGGCGCCACGGCAGCACCCAGCTGCCCCGTCTCCGGAGCGGCAGCAGAGGTGCGGGCGGGGGCGCGGGGCCGCCTCGGGACTCGCTGGAGGGAGGGCGTGGGGCCGGAGGGCTTCACAGGGAGAGAAGAAGGGGAGGGGAGCAGCCGGGCCAGGTGGCCAGAAGATCGCCATGGGGTAGAGCCGCCCGGTGGGGTCGCGGGCGAGGGATGCGGCGCGGCCGGGGCCGGGGCGGCCTCCCCCAGCCGGGGCTCGGGCTCGGGGCTCGGCTCCCCGCGCGGCGGGGCGGGGCGGGGCGGGGCGGGGCGGGGCGGGGCGGGGCGGGGACGGCGGGCCTGGAAGCCGCCTGCAGGGGGCGCCCGTGCGCGGCGCGGTCGGAGCCGGCGCTGGACCCGCCGCCGACGCCGCCGCGGAGACCGCGGGAGCCGGCTCGCGAGCGGCAGGTCAGCTGGGGTCCCGGCTTGGGGTCCCCGGGGCCCGGGGAGGACGGCAGGGCGGCGTGGGGTTGTCGGGCCTGGAGGAAAGGACGGCCCGGGTCCCCCTCCTTCGGGGTCCCTCGCCGCTCCGGACCTCTCTTCTCGCGCCTCGGAGCGAAGTTCCCAGCGGCGTCCAGCCCGGCCCCTCGGGGGCGCGCGCTCGGCGGGCGCGGGGGACTCTGGCGCGGCCGCACGTCCTAAGCCGGGCTGGGGGCGGGGGCGGACCCTCTGCTCTGCCCCTAACTCAGCCGGAAGGTGCGCGGGGTCGGCGGGGAGGGGAGGGGAGGGGGCGCGGAGCGCGGCGGCCCGGGCGGCGCAGGGTGCGGGCGGGCGCGGGGGCCGGCGAGGGGCGGGCAAGGTCTGCCGGCCGGGCTGGGGCGGCGGGACGGCCAGGGCACTTGGGGACCCTCCCGGAGCTCCCGGCCAGTGCCTTATGGGGGCGGAGAGGCGAGGCAGGACCCCGGGAGGAGTGCGGGCTTCCACAGGTGGCCGCCCCGGGGCAGGGACGTCCCCCCGGGGTGCGCGCGGCGCCCGCGGAGCCTCTGCATCCCCAGCGCCCCGGGAACGCCCCGGCTGCAGCAAGCAAGTGGAGTCTGGAGCTCCGGACCCAGCGCGGGCGCGTCTGGTGGACCGTGGTGGCGGCACCCCATTTAGGGGACCCAGGAGGGGCCGGAGGACGGGCCGCGGGGGTGCGCGCCTCGGAGTGGTCCTGGCGGGCTGCCGGGAGGCCGTGAGCTGAGGCAGGCGTGGCGGGAATGGTGGCCGCACTAGAGGGACTTGGCGCTGGACGGCCCAAGGGATCAAGGAGGGAGCCGCTAGCCAGCAGATCTGAGAGCTCTGCCCTGGCCCCGAGAACCATAAGGGAAAGCTCTTTGGAGCCCAGCCACCCGCGAGGCAGGATGTAGGGTCAGGGGCTGCCTCTTAATCCCGCTATGGCTGGTCCAGCAGGTCTTCGGTGGCCCCATCCCAGGTCCCAGCAGGACCACAACAGGAGCTCCTCCCTGAGGCTCCTTGATGGCCACTCCTCCTTGCTCTGCCTTTGTCCTTTGGGGTCTCTCTGGCTCTCTTAGGTCCTAGAGTCCCTGTGGCCAATCGCAAGCAATGCCCCTGTACCCCCACCGCCTCCATGCACACTGGCTTCTGGGAGGGGCACTTACCAGTTTCTAGCCCCAGGGAGGCCCAGAGCAGCCCAGATGAGGCTGACCAGAGACAGGCTTTAAGAAGTGCAATTCCCAGCCATACTCTGGGTCCTGTCCCCTAGGAGACTTCAGCCTACAAGGGCAATGATTTGCCTCTAGAGAGAAACCCTATGGACCCTTGATTCTGGTTTTCAAACCTGGGTTCTAGGGCGGCCTCCTTGATTTACTCATTGGGTGGCCACAGGCAAATCATTGCCCTGAATCTGTCTTCTCATCTGTAAAACAAGCACAATGAGTAAAGTGAAACCTTCAGGGTAGTGGCGAAGAGTAAATGAGAGATGAGCTTTGGCTAGGGGTCAGGCTTCAGGGCAGACCAGAGGACAGTTTGGGGAAACTCCGAGGGACGAGGGACGGTGTTAGCCTTGCAGGGTCAGGAGACACCACAAGGGATTCCTGTTGAATGAGAAGCAAGTACATGGCTTTTAAGACATCCTCTGCATGGCCCTGGGCAATGCCTGCTGTGTGGGGCCACCGCCCAGGTGGCTCTCAGCTGTGACCTGGAATCCTGCAGTACTCTTCCTACCATCTAACTGGAGCCGTTTTACCCTGGATGAACTGGAATTGCCATCCCAAGTGTCTGAAGGAGTGTGTCGTGTTTACTAAAACCAAAGCTGGGTGCTGAAAGACGTGTGCGCCTGTGAGAATAGGGATGGCCAAGGTGTGCAGGGTGGGCTGAGACAGCAGCTTTGGTGTGCGGGGGAGGATGCTGAGGAGACCACATATAGGTGCCAAGTTGACAAAAGAGACAGATCCCAGCCCCAAGGGCAGTGTCGGGAGCTGTGGAGCGAAGATGTTGCCCTATGGTCTAGAGTAGGAGGAAGCAGTGGGGGTGCAGTGCCTGAGGGTGCAGAACAGCCCTCTGTTTCATAAGTTGCTGGGCAGGGGATACACTTCTGCTGGTCCAGCTCACCTGTCACCTGGAAGAAAGACTGTCTCAGTGGGCCTTGGAAAGGTGGGCAGCAACACGTTGGTGCCTCCCCTGATGCTGGGAAGGTCGCCTCTGGCCAGGGGGTCCCAAGGCTGGTATCTATCTGTCCATCCATCAGTAGGACATTTACCTCTGGCCCCTTGGTGGCCTCTGCAAACCATGAGCTGGGCAGTAGCCTGGGCCAAGGAGCAGTGGCAGGCTCGAGCAGCCCCAGCCCCAGCCCCCAGGCTGTGCTTGAATTGGTCCTGCCCTCACCTGTCCTCTACCTTCAGCCTCCAAACTGCACCATTGCGCTCTCCTCCCAGGAGCCACAGAAGTAGGTTCACCTCCCCCCTCCCTCTCATCAGTTACCTTTGGGGAGCCCCGGACTGTGCTCCTACATTACCCCTTCAACAGGTCAGCTTCTGCCAGGGTCCTACCCCAGGCCAGCTAGGCTGTATTCTCAAGGCCATAGAGAAGGCCCCCCATGGCCCTCATGTTCCCTCTTCAGGTATCATCTTACCTGTCATCCTGCCGTTAGGGTTCATTTGAGGGAGGAGTGGGTGCTGGACACTTCATGGATCTCACACATGAGGAGCCCTGCACTGAGGGGAGGCCTCTTGTTCAGTGTCTAAAGAGTGTGGGATGGAGCAGGAATGGGATTCCAGCTGGGCTCCTTCTGCCACAGGTTGGACACCCAGCACCTGTGGGTGAGGTGTGACCCCTTGGAGGGAGATGTCAGCTGAGGTGACTGGTGGGAAAGCCAGTGGCTGCCTCAGGCTGGGAGGAGTAGGGGTCTGCAGCCTCTCTGGCATCTAGCCTGGACACATGCAGGTTAGGAGGGTGATTGTAGGAACCCAGACGGGGAAGGGAGCTATGGCAGGGTGCCGCTCTGAGATCCAGGCCCAGTGCTGGAGCTCCACCCCATTTCTGCCCACATCCTGCCCCCAGGAACTGAGAAGAGCATCTCACATCCTCGGGCAGTGGGGGAGGGGCCTGCCCAGCTGCCTCCCAGGTCCTCCACTGCCTTGGGGAGGAGGTGGCTGTGCAGAAAGGCCCCAGCACTCTGTGGTTGCTCACCTCCGGGTAGCACCTGCCCCACCCTCATCAGTGAATTTGGAGACCAGACATGGCAGCCAGTGAGCGCCTGTGGTTGGAGCCAGAGCCCAGCTGCCCATCCACTCTGCTGCCAAGCTCCCATGAGACAATGTGGACGCTTCCCAGTCTACCTTACCTGCGTCTCTCGACTGTCTCCTCACAGACCTGGTCTCTTCATGACGTTTGTGTGAGAATTCCGCAGTGCTGTCTTCAGATCCCTGATTGCCTCTTCAATTGTGTGCATGCCCAAAGCTTTATCTCAAGCTGCTGTTTTTCATATTCCAAATTTTAAATTATTTCTTGTTCATTGTCACCTGTTTCTGCTTCATTTCTGCCAATTGGTTCGTAAGTTCTCGTTCTTCTTTATGGATGCCCTGCCTTTATCTCTGAAAATCCTTAATGCCTTTGAAAAATCATTACCTTTACCTCTCCTGGAATGAATTCATCTCCATATTTTGGATATTGTCACTTATCTCCCTTAGCCTGACTCATCTGAAGCAGGAGCTGGGGTTCTGGGGGCCGGAAGTGGCCCGTACACTGTGTAGCAGTTGCACCCAGCTCAGCCTCCTGGGCTCCGTCCTCCTGCGGTGAACTTGGACTGCCTGGGACCAGGCTCAGCAGTGGGTAGCAGAGCTCCCTGTGGCCTGTGGTTGGGCTGCTGCCTGGCACCCAGTACATATTTGGGGAACATTTAGTAGGAGAAGTAGTGGAGGAGTCTCAGGCCAGGATTCTGGAGCCTGGGAGCAGGCCCAGTGAGACCAGCAGGCTCTGAGGGGTACAGCCACCATCTGGGCATGTGTACAGAGAGCCTTGCCAGTCTGACGTATGAGGAGCCAGAAGTGGCCGGGAAGTATGTGGGGTTTTGATTAAATGGAGTTTTAATTAAAGTAGGCAGGCCGCTGGTGGGGGTGAGCAGGAAGGCGGGAAGAAGTGGCAGTTTTGAGTCTGACTGCTGGGAACCCTGTGGGCTTATTCTTTGCACGTTCTTCAGCACGTGTCCCTATTGTGTACGGGACATCTTCTGCCCTCTGCTCTGTCCCCAACAAGGGACAATCACAGGGACAGTACATTATTGGTATTGAATTTCCCCTCCTGGCTAGCAACAGATGACTCAAGGATTAATTAGATAGACAAAGTCAACAAGAGAGGGATAGGAAATTGCCAGATCCCGCCCCTGCCCCCGGCCCCCTCCCCTTGGGCCTCCAACCTTCCTGTCTCTCTTAGAGGCCTCTGAAGGGAGGGAAGTAGAGAGGGGCCAGGAGGCCCCAGGAAGTCTTCCCACTGCAGTGTTTCCCATGGGCATTTCCTCCCTCTCTGTCCCACACTCCTGTGCTCACTGTAAGGCTAGGAGAGGCCATTAACGTCTTTGGGCCTTAGCGTCTCATCTGTAAAATGGGGTTCATCAAGCCAATAACCCCATGTCCCTGCACCCTCATTTCCTAAGCTCCCAAGCAGACCACACTAACTATTTTAGAGGGTCCAGAGCAGAGTTCTGGTGTCCAGGCAGCGTTGGAGCAGGTTTGACGAGCCTGGTGACTGCAGTTCTCACAGCTGACTATGTGGGCCAATTCCCAGTTCTGGCCAGTGACACATTAGTAGTTTGAAATTGGCCCTATTGGGAGCATTTATACTGAAATAGCTGGCAAAAGCTACAAGTCAGGGAACCCCCTCCCCTGGGCAGATTTCCTGCTAGGCTGGGAAGTTCCCAGCCTTCCCACAAATCAGCTGCAGCAGCGGGCCTTCCTCCTGCCCTGCCTGGCCTGGGTGCCACGGTGCCTCAACCCAGGTGCTCTTGTTGGGCAGCCACTCACATTGCCTGCAGGACCAGGCCAGCCTCCCCTGGAACATGCTGGAAGAGCTCACAGGAATGAGGTAGGAAGGACTGGGTGTCGAGGGGTGAAGTCCTAAACAGCCTCTTAGGACTTCCGTTTTGTCTTTCATTCCATGCAGGGCTGACTGGGCAGAAAGATCTGTTGCATCTGGTGAGACCAGGTGGACAGCAGGAAGGTAGCTTCACTTTATAAAGTCAGAAGGGGTGCTGGTACAGGCCTTCAACATGGAGCCCGCAGCACAGAAGGTGGTCATGGGGCCCATGAGCAGGTACCTTGGGCTGCCAGGAGAGCACATTAAGCAGAGCGCTGGGTCAGATCCTCAAAGGTCCTTCAGCATTGCAATTGCTGCCCACATGGAATCTGCCTGGTGCCCAGGATAGAGCTGTGGTGTGACCGAGTCGGCAGAGCACTGGGCAGGGGGGCTGGCAGTCTGGCCTGAGAACCACAGAATGGGAGATACATTTGGGTCAGGTGGAACTTTGCTGGTCCCACTTCAACTCCAGGGTCCTCTGAATCTAGATGATTGTCAGGCTTCTAGATTGAGCTGGTTGGATTGATAGAAGCTCTGATACCTCTTAATGCAGGTTTCCCTGGAAAGGCCGAAACCTGGGGAAGGAGGGCAGGTGGCTGTGAGGATGCTGGGAGGCAGGGTCCCTGGTGCTCACTGGGCCTGGCCAGACCTGACTGAATAGCAGCCTGTTGCTGCTGCCACTGCTGATGGTAATGGGCCTGGGAGGCTGGCCTGGGCCTGTCACTTCCCTTTTGCAGCACAAGAATGAGACCCCTGGCATCCTCTGTAGTGTTTGGGGAGGGAGGGAACAGGAAGGGACTAGTGAGTGCTGCTCTGGACCTCTGGCCAGAAAGCACGAGCAATATCATGTGACTAGGGTTGGCACCGGAAAACGTGGTCTGGCCTGTCCCTGCCAATGTTGTGCTTTCTGAGTAGCTGGCTGTGTCCTGTGCATGGCAGGGGCCCAGTGGGACTTGTTCACGGCCCTGGTGATGGCTTCTGCACCTGCTGCAGGCCCTGGGAACCCCTTGGGCTCTTAGAGGCTTGACCTTTTCTTCTTTTCCTCCCCTCCCTGGTATTAGGAGCTCCATTCCGAGCACCCTAGTAAGGACAGGGAACACCCCTCAGGTGTGGCTGCAGTCCATGCCTGCCCGCCTCAGCCACCTAAGGCACATCAGAGTTGGAAGGAAACTTGGGGCTCATCTGTTGCAGTCCACCATCACTTCCAAAATGTTTGATGGTGGTGGTAGATAGATGAATGAGCTATTAACAATTTTTATTAAGGGATGTGTTTTTCGGGGGTGGTGGGGAGTCTGATTCTTTGGACATGGCCAAGGACCTTAAGCAACTTTCTCCCATTGTCATTACTACCCCTTGATCCTTCATGAACTGAAGGGGTGAGCCCACACTCAGACAGCTGAAAAGCAGCTTCAGGCCTTTTGTTCCGAGGCAGGCAGAGTCATTTTCCACACACACCTGGGCCCAGGACTAGAGAAGGGGTGGATCTGGTGTGGGGGAACCCCCTAGGGCAGCATATATGAGTATGACAAGGCGGGGGCAGAGGCAGCGTAGAGAAGTCCCTGGGCTAGCAGTGGGGTGGAAACTGTTTCACAAGCTCAAGGGACAGCAATGGGGGTTTGGATGATGGCCAGGTCTGCCGGGGAATCCAAGACCTCCACTTCTGCTTCTATTTCTGAGGGGTGTCACTAACTCCTTACAATTCTAATACATCTGACTCTTGGGTGGCCCTTTCATATCTTTTCCTTCCCATAGACTCATGGGTGCGTGGTGAAATAACTCCTAGAGCTCATCTGGGGTCCAGCCTCCTCATGGTATCTGTGGAGAAACTGATGCCCAAGAAGGAAACTCACAGTTTGCCCAGTGAGTCCTGGCGGAACTTTCTGCTTTGCGCCTGGCACCAGCTCAGTTATCAGTGCAGGGTGCAGGTCCTCAGCCAGGCATAGCAGGAGGTGGGAGGCCCCCCTCCCAAGGGAGGTGACGAGGGGAGGGAGCGGGGCACGGGAGGGAGGTGAGGGGAGAGGTGTGGCAGTTGCTCTGCCCAGATGTGCAGCAGCTGGCGGGTGCTGCCAAGGGGCGGGCCCCCTTTGTTCCTGCTCAGCTTGCTCCCCGCCCTGTGCAGCACCACCCACCTCCAACGAGGACAAGAGGGCTTATCTGCCAGTGATGGGAAGCAGGATCAGGAGGCTCCCCAGATCAGAGCTCTAAGGGTCTCTGGGCCTCTCCTTACCTGAGCAGCATAGGTAGGTGCTGGTAGTACCCCCAGGACGACCTCTCAAGAAAGGAGCAAATAAAAGGCTGGCTGAAAGAGAAGGTGGGTGGGCCTGGGAGAGTCTGAGGTCTGAGGGGGTAAAGGGTCTTTCTGGGAGGGTTTTAGGGGTTTTAGTGAGCCCCGGGTTCCAGGAAACTGGCCAGGCTACCACAGAAGGCTTGGGAAGCCGAGGGGTCTGGGGATGGGGCTAACTTGAGGGACTTAACTTTGGAAGATTCCATGCTTTCCTTAAAAAAAGACAGGGACTGGGGCTCATCCCTGGCCCTCTTTGGGATGGGAGGGGCAAGGCGTGGTGGACTCTCCTCAGGCCCAGGCCTGGCTTGCACGGGGGTGGAGCCCCCAAGAAGGGCATGGGTGATTCCGGAACTGAGCACAGCTCCTGGGAACCTGCAGCTGTACCCCCATGCCAGTGGTCCAGCTCCTCATGAGGTTTCTCCCTTGGCAGGAGTCTCAGGAACGCAAGTGGACCTCAGTCAAGATGCCGCCACTGGGACCCCCTGAGAGGGCCTGGTTTCTGGACACTCAGAGTTGGCTGTGACAAAGCGCTTGGGGAGCCACACCGTCTCCCCACACACACGGACCCTCTTGGCTCCTGTGAGGAAGAGGCTCAGGAGCCTGGGCAGGACCAGCTGCGCTGCAGCTATGGACCGTGAGCTGGCCCAGCCGGCGTCCTTGCTGACCCTGCCCAACTGCAGCCATGCTTACTATGGGCTCCTTGGTGTACATCACAGTGGAGCTGGCCATCGCCGTGCTGGCCGTGCTGGGCAATGTGCTAGTGTGCTGGGCCGTGTGGCTCAACAGCAACCTGCAGAACGTCACCAACTACTTCGTGGTGTCACTGGCAGCGGCCGACATCGCTGTGGGGGTCCTTGCCATCCCCTTCGCCATCACCATCAGCACAGGGTTCTGCGCCGCCTGCCATGGCTGTCTTTTCATCGCCTGCTTTGTCCTGGTCCTCACGCAGAGCTCCATCTTCAGCCTCCTGGCCATCGCCATTGACCGCTATATTGCCATCCGCATCCCACTCAGGTGAGCCGGGAGCTGGGGCGGGTGGCCCCGCAGCCTCTGTCCTGGCGCGCCTTCTGCTGATGAAAGGCTGCCTGTGCCAGGGTCTGGTCCGTGCCCAGCGTCAGGATGAACCTGGGGTCAGGTGAACCCAGGGTCAGAGTTTGGTCTGTGGTGTTGGCATGTTGAGCCGGGACACGGCCATGGACTTAGTCTGGGGGCTACTCAGGGCTTGGCATAGATCTAGCAACTGTGCCCATCTAGCTAATCCCTTTGAGCGTGAAGCACCCCGCTCCTCCCCGGGGGCCTCCCAGGTTCATGTGGTCGAGATTATTGACAGACATAGGTAGCCCAGGACTGGGTGGGTAAGTCAGCTCTTCTCCACACAGCATGATGCTGGGGCTGGGCAAGGCACCACGGGAAACCACAGACCTCAGAGCTAAAAGCCTGCCTGCCTGCTTCCCTCGGCCCCTCCTCGCAGCTTGCACATTAGGAAGATGACCCAAAGAGGGGAAGTGACTTGGTTAAATGCCACAGTGAGTCACTGGGACCTATATGCAAATGATATGCTCCTCAGGTCACTAAGTACTCATGGTTTTAGCGCCTGTACACTGCGTGGCGCTGGAGGAGGGGACTAGTGGAGGGGTTTTTAATGGTGACTCTTCTGTGAAAGTGACTTCAGCCGTGTGTTGTGTAAATGAAGACTTTCCCCAGGCGGAGCTTACTCAGCATGGCCTCTGCACATTCCCAGGCCGTCAATAAGGCTAGGAGGCTAGGGTGTGTGTCCCTTCTGTTGGGGAGCCCTGGGAACTTTCTGCCACACTTATTTTCCCACCCCGGGGTCCACAGCCTGGGTAGCTGCGGGCCTGACCCTCAAAGGGTCAGGGTAACCCATCCCTGTGGGAATTCTCTCAAATAGGTAGGACACCCACCTATGTAATGGGCCCCAGCAGCCCCACTGAAGGCTGAGGGCACCCCACCCTGGAGGAGAAGCAGGCTCAATGAGCAAATGGAAATTTAGAGTGTCAAACCCAAAAGGGGCCCTGAGCGGTCATTTCCTCTCATAGTCTGAATGGAAAAATGAGGCTCAGAGAGAGGAGTCAGTCCTCAGGGCCACACAGAGTTGGTAGCAGAGCTGGATCTGTGCCTAGGAAGAAATGTGGCCTGCCACCCACTGCGACTTCAGCCTTTGGGGAGCTGAATCACCAGGAACCCCAGTCTCCCAGAGCCTGCAACAGATGTCTACTCCCGTCACCTGCCCTCTTAGGGGGAAGCAGGCCCCTCATCACAAAGGAGTCCCGGCCCTGTGTGGCCCGTACGGTACTCTGCATGTTGGGAGAGCCTCAGACACCTATCACAAGAGAAGGGGACTCAGGCCAGCCCCAGTAGAGGACGAGCCTAACTGAACAGAGGAGGCCCCGAAGTCCAAGCTTGTCCAGTTCAGAACACAGAGGTCTAGGAGGGAATCCGTCTGGGGATTTCCAGGGGGACCTGGGTGCCCAGGTCGGAGGCTACTACTTTAGGCTGAGCACACTTGGGCTCCACCAGCTCTGGTGGGACTATCCAGGGGGAAGCAGAGACTTTACTTTCACTTTTTCCTCCACTCAAAGGTAAATGCATCTAGGGAAAGAACAGGGCTGCTAGTCCCAATCAAAAGAAACTTGCCTTTCTTATCTTCCCTCTCTGTTTTCTGAGAGTCAAAAATGACTCCCTAAAAGTAGGATGGGACATGCTGTGTAAACCACAGAAAGCCAGCTGCCCATCTCTGGAGACATTGCTTCATCTATGAAAGGGAATGTGCCTCTGACCCTCTGAACTCATAAAGGTATTAAGATGAGAGTAGATGAGAGGGACTGCCCCTGAGGGGGGTTGGTAGGGTGGGGTCGGGCAGGTGGGAATTCCACTTTTTCTTGAGCAGCTGGAGATTCAGGGCCAGGGTCCCCGGATGGAGTCAAGTCATGGACCCACCCTCACACCCCCATGCGTATCCCTGACTTCCAGGATCTTCTGGAATGAGACCTAGTTCCATCCAGACCATGATCACTCGAGCTCCACTGCCTAAGGCTTTGGAGGACTTGGGCTGGATCTCTTGCTCTGGGAGCTGATGGGGTTGACGGTGATGACCCTGCCCCGGACAAAGAGCTTCGCAGTTGCCCAGGATGTTAACACAGCACTTCCTTTGATCCTCACAACCTGGCACTGTGGCCAGGACAGAAGTTATGACCCTCATATTACATGGGGAGGCCAGGGCCAGAGAAAGAAAAGTGTCTCCTGACATAGATAGGCTACAGGGCCCTTCAAGTTCCTCCAGTTCCTTTGGGTCCCTCCACATTCCTGTTCTGCAAAGCCCCTGGGCTGGCAAGAGCCAGGGAGGGTAAGGCATATAAAGATGCCTGCGTGGGAGCTCCTGAGAACAAGCTGGGCATAGAGGGGAAGTTGATGGAGGTAAATGGAAACCCAAAGCTCCTGGCAGCTCGGAGCCACGCCCTGGCCAAAGCTGCCTGTTCCTGCCTTCTTCCTTTGGCCCCTCCACAGCTGGAATCAGCCTTTTCTGTGTTCCGGTTCTCACTCTCCTCAGTAGGTTTGTGTGGCTACTCTGAACTCCACCCTCTGACTGATACCCTGGATGGCTGGCCCCAGACCTGTACCTCTCAGGATTGAGTTCTTTTTTTCATTTTTATTTTTTTTAAATATTTATTTATTTATGCATTCAAGAACTGGCGTACAGGCCAGAGGTGTGGGGTGGGGTGGTGAGAGGATTCACCAGAGAGAGAGTGAGGAGCAGAACAGGCAGATTGACTGAAATACACTGCTGAGGGGAGCAGCGGGCAAGACAGGAGAGGTCTGCTACGCCATTTGGGTATCTCCCTGGCCGGGGATTGAACTCAGTGCTGCAGAGGCTGCAGATAGCTTCATAGGTTGTGTCTCAACCCCTTGCGCCACCAGGGAGGCCCTTTTTTTCATTTTTAAAGAATTCCGTTTCAGAAAAAAAGCTGTGTGTTCTAGGACAGAGCCTAGTCAGGATGTCAATGGCCAGAAGCAGAGATGGGAGCTGTCCATGTCCCCAGAAAATGGGGCTTTCCCCAGGGGACTTTTGCATCCATTGTCTCCTGTCTCTCACATTAATGCTCTCTCTCCTGGAGAAACGGGCTGAATACCGGGCAGCAGCGGGCGCTGAGGCCAGAATCATTCATGGTGAATCACCCTGCATGGACGAACCCTGAGTGCTCTGGCTTCTGAGGAGGCCAGGGTCAGGACAGACGGCTCCCTGGAGGAAGTGACACTGGTGGGTCAGGCAGAATGGGGGGTGTATGAGAAGAGGGTCAAGCCTGGACAAAGGCCTCAAGAAAGGAATGAGCATGTGCGTGGTAGGCCGTGAAGAGGTGACAGGGAAAGAAGAGGATGGCAGTGAGGGTGTGCAGCTGACTCAAGCCTGCCTGGACCCAGGAAGGAGTTTGGATTTCCTCTGTGGGCCAGTAGCTCCTCAAGTCTTGGATAACTGTCTCCTTTGAGCAGTTTAAGAAAGCTCCTCCCTCTCAGTATAAGGCAAATGCACAGGCAGCCCTTCCTAAAATCATGGGAGTTGGGGGGATTCTTGGACAACAGGGGGAACTCCAAGAAGGGGCATTCTATGAGCTGGCTCATGCAGAGTGGCAGAGGTACCTCCAATGCAGTGGGCAACTGCTCTAACACCCAATTCCCTGCAGCAGTAGAGTCTGGTGCTGGATGGGGTACATCTGAAGCCCAGGAGACCAAGAGATGACTGTTAGACACAGCCCAGGGGCCAGGCTGTTCTGGCTGTGGTTCCATTTGGGCCCTGATGCTCTTCCAGCCCCACAGGGGCTGGAACCAAGGCTCTCAACCTGTATAAGGGGCTTCCTCTTAAATAACAATATTAATCTCCATGAACCAGGGATTTTCATGCCATGTCCCCAGAAGCCTTTGGGCCACACCCTGGTGTCCCCATCAGCTCATTTACTCAGTAAATATATATTGAACCCCTCTCCTCCCTGATAGTTTCACCTCTAAAATCACCAGGGAATGTGTGCATGAAGGTCTGCTGCTGGAGAACAATTTCAAAGGCCCCAGAGCAACTGGTCTCAGGATCCTCCACGTCATCCCTATAACTGCTTGCGTTTGCTTGATTTCCTCACATGGCAGGAAGCTCACTATTGCTTGAGGCAGCCCATTTCTCCTGCAGATAGCTCAGCTAAAAAGCTTGTACTTAGATGAGCCACAACTTGCCCCCTTATAAATCCCACCCAGTAGCCTACATGCTGCCCTCACGGAGCAGTGCCCACAGTGCCAGATGCTCAGTGTCATTGTAAATGAGGAAACTGAGGCTCAGATGGGCAGAGTGACAGAACGCGGCTAACAAGGAATGCAGCAGGGCTGGAGCTCAGAGAGGGATGTGCTTTTCTCAAGAAAACTATCAAAATTAAAACAGCCTCCAGTTCAGTGAGATTATATAAATGACTATTTGAAAAATACTAAAAACAATGCTTGGCACAGAGCAAGTGCTATGTAACTTAAAAATGGAACAAATGAAAGTCTGTGATTCCATGTTTGAGGTTCTAGAATAAGTAATGGCAGTGCAGGCTTTCTGTGGCTTGGTAGAAATGGGCAAATCCATGACCCTCTTCCTGCCATGGTCCTGCCACAGGCACCCAGCTCCCTGCTGAGTGGGGCACGGAGAGGCTGATGGCCCTGCCTGATTACGGCTTAACGTCAGAACAGACAAACTTATCCTGATCCAAGTTGCCTCTCAGCTCCTGAATGTCCACAGCAAGTTCATTCCTCTCCGGGGAGCTCAGTTTCCCCATCTTTATAATGAGGGGATTAAGCTAGTAGGAGGTCAGAGGCCACTAGGTTGTTTTATCCTTAATTTAAATTCATTGGCAACATTTAAACCACGGAAGAGTTTACCCAGAAAATCAGCTCCCCAGTCCCTCCCGAGAGCTGGCAACACTGGGCACACTTTTCCCACGGTGACAGGGGCTGAGTGGCATCAGCTGCTATATGCCCCACCAGCCTGCTTGGCACATTTCTCATCTAGGGCCCCTGAGTTTGCCATCCATGCACTAGATTGTTTCTATAGATGCTTAATTCTGGCACTAACTAAAGCACCTACTTTGTGCTTTGTCCCACTGGTGGCCATACAGAGATGGAGGCGGGAAAGCCCTAGTCCCCAGGGCGCTCCTAGCCGTGGGGCTCAGCTCGGGTAGAGTTAGCCACGCTTAAATAGGAAAGTTCTCTGAGAAGATATCTAGCCTGGACTTGAAGGGCAGGTAGGGTTTAACAGGTAGAGGGGAAGGCACTTTGGTTTTGCCCGATTCAAAAACAAAAGGTGACCCCTCAGAGATCACAGAGGTCTCCTTGTTCAATCAGGAGATGTTTTTTTATTGCTGTTCTTTTAAGAAAAGCTCTGCTTCCTTTCTAACAGGACTAAGGTCAACTCCCTGACTGTCAGATCAGGCCACTCCCAGAGCCTGGGACGAAGCCTGACTGGATGACTGCGTGACTGCAGGCGGCTTACTTTTCCTCCCTGCAGTCAGTAGCTCACGCAGTCCTTTCCTCGTGCATGATTGCCATCTCATTTCTCACCAGAGGGTTATGGATGGACTTGGAGGTGACCTGGTATCTCCACCCCCTCTTTTCCCTCCTGTGCCACCTCTCCTTGGGAGCTTCTGGGGCCCCTAAGTCCTAAGTCAAATGGGGAAAGAGGAGCAGAGTGGAAGACCTGTGAATCCCCAACAGGTTTGATCTGGCAGGCTCTGCCCCCGCTAGCGAGCCCACCCTCCTACCCTGTTCCCGCTCTAAAGGGAAATGTCTTCTAGCATCAACCAAGATCAGCATGAAGGCTCTGACTTCTCTCCCTCCCCCCAATCACTTATTAATCCCCTCAAACCAAACTAAGTGCCAGGACTCCGCAAAATACTAATCAATAACCACCTGACCATCTGTGCAGCCAGCAGGTTCCCTTTTTCACCTCCTGTGAGAAAACACGGAGCTCGGACCTCTGCTCAACACAGGAGATAATGTGGCTAGGAGGCAGGAAGTGACTGGTCCAGATAGCCCACTCAGCCAGTGAAGGGCAGACCAGGGCACAGCTCTGGGTTTCTTGACTCTGGGCCCCACCTGACGCTGGTCTCTTGTCCACAGGTACAATGGCTTGGTGACTGGCACGAGGGCCAAGGGCATCATTGGAGTCTGCTGGGTGCTGTCATTTGCCATCGGCCTGACTCCCATGCTGGGCTGGAACAACTGCAGTCCGCTGAAGGAGGACAAAAATGGCTCGAAGACCTGCCCAGAGGGCCGGGTGGCCTGCCTCTTTGAGTATGTGGTCCCCATGAACTACATGGTGTACTACAACTTCTTTGCTTGTGTCCTGGTGCCCCTGCTGCTCATGCTGGGCATATACTTGCGGATCTTCCTGGCAGCCCGGCGACAGCTGAAGCAAATGGAGAGCCAGCCTCTGCCAGGGGAGCGGACTCGATCTACACTACAAAAGGAGGTCCATGCTGCCAAATCACTGGCCATCATTGTGGGGCTCTTTGCCCTCTGCTGGCTACCCCTGCACATCATCAACTGTTTCACCTTCTTCTGCCCAAGGTGCAAGCACGCCCCGACCTGGCTCATGTATCTGGCCATCATCCTCTCCCACACCAACTCCGTTGTGAACCCCTTCATCTATGCCTACCGCATCCGAGAGTTCCGCCAGACCTTCCGCAAGATCATCCGCAGCCACATTCTGAGACGGCAGGAGCTCTTCAAGGCCGGGGGCACCAGTGCCCGGGCCTTGGCTGCTCACGGCAGTGATGGAGAGCAGATCAGCCTCCGTCTCAACGGCCACCCTCCCGGGGTGTGGGCCAATGGCAATGCCCCCCACCCTGGGCGGAGGCCCAATGGCTATGCCCCGGGGCTGGTGGGTGGCGGGAGCGCTGGTGAGTCTCATGGGGACATGAACCTCCCGGATGTGGAACTCCTTAGCCATGAGCTCAAGGGCGAGTGTCCAGAGCCCCCTGGCCTTGAGGGCTCCCTGGCTGGAGCAGGAGTGTCTTGATCTACTGAGTTAGTCCCTTCCTGAGGGAAGGAAATCTTTCTTCTTCTGGTTGGTGGAACCAGTCATTAAAAGAGTGAGTCTGCCAGGAGACCCTTCTGGTGGCCGGTTCCTGCTTTGGACTGAGAGGCGGAAACCGCAGCTGGAGCAGCATGAGGTCCAGCAAAAAGGGTTTGGAGTCTGAGAAAGTGGACGTTTCATGCTGAGAAGCCCTGCACCAAGCCAGAGCCAGAGCACCAGCAGGCTGAGCAGGGCCCAGTCCCCCACTCCAGAAGCACCTAGAAGTACCACCTTGTCTCCACAGAGAAGGCTGTGGCAGAGCAGGCAGGCCTGTTCCTGAGACTGAAGAGGGGCTCCAGCAAGCCCCCTTATACACATACAGACACCACCCTCCACTGACCTTCCTGGAGTTTGGGCACAGCTGTACCCAGAGGTGGAGTTTGACTATATTTTTTTCAGGAGAAAATGTATTTTGTTTTATTATCTCCCTGGCCTCCTGGTCTGTTGTCTTGCTGCTACCTGGCACCAGGAGTCGGCCCAGGGAGGCCTAAGCAGCCCTCTCCCACTGCCATGAGCGGCCACGCACTCCCGCTGTCGGTCCCAGAGCCAGCTCTCAGGGCAGCAAGGGCGTGAGGAGCGGGAGCTGTAACGGAGCGGAGCGACTCCGGAGCGTGGGCTCAGAGGAGGTGGTCGGAACTGACTGACCATGAGGTGTGCGTGGGCGGCTCTGGGCTGCCCAGGCAGAGGCCCTGTAAAACTGCCTTGCCTTCTGTAGGGAATGTTGTTTTTTTCTGAGATACAATAAAAATGAGCCACATTGTGTTTTAAGCCCGTCCAATTAGAATGGTGTCTGAGTTCCTTTTCTTCCTCCATTGCCAGGCCTGGCACACATAAATAGGTGTGTGCAACTATATGAGTGTGCGTGTATATATGAAGACAGACACTCTGTCTACTAGGGGGTGAGGTCCCCCTCTAGCCTGAGGCATCCCCACAGTGTGGGAACCAGGCTTTTCCCTCATTACCCTTCCAGAGCTGTGCCCCCACCTCCCACTGCCCCGCTCTACTGCCCTCTGCTGAGAAGCCATCTGGAGAGAGCTCTGGATGGGGGCTCAGTTGCCTTCCCCTGGAGTCACCTTCCTCACCCTCCAATAAAGGAACCTATAAGGAACTGTGTCTCTTGCTCTGACGCCCGTGGCTGGGGTCTCCTTAAGGAGGTGGTGTCATCCTTCTGTGGGGGTGGTTTGAGCCCAGGGGGATTTTAACAACCTGCCCCGTCCTTCAGGCCAATGTGTTCTCAAAGACACTTCGGAAGGGACTGGGAGGGAGTGTTAGAACTTGGCAGGTGATCCTCATGGAGCCCTGGGAGCCCCATTTTGTACATGACCAAACATCAGACTTACACAGAGAGGCGAAGTCCTGTCCCGGATCACGCAGCTAGCAAGTGGCAGAAATGTGCTTATGACCCAGGTCTGTGTGGCTGCAAAATTCATATGTTCTTTTCTCTCCACTAACTCCTAAACTGTTTCAACCACACTACAAAGTATAAAATAATGCTGTGTCCCCACCACCCTACTCAATAAATGAAACACTGTGATCACAGTGGAAGCATCTGAAGCCGCCCCACATTCTTGCCCTGCTTCCTGCATCTGGAAATGACCCCTTTCCTGGATTTCATTTAATCTTATTGTGTACTTTTATTCTTTTACTATGCAGATGCATAGATAAGTGTCCCCAAACCAACACGATTTGTTTTAGCTCTGTTTACTGTGACAGCAATCAAAGGAACAGAAGTAACACTAGGATAATCTGAAACCTGAGCCCCTGGCCAGGCCGCAGTGATTCCCTGGAAGTGCTTGTGGAAAGCCGGGCTAAGAACCACAGAGTAAACCCACAGCCCACCCCGTCCACCCCAGCTTCCTCCTCCCTCTTCCACAGGTTGGTCCGTGCTGGCTGTGGCTGAGGGCAGAGCGGTGGCTAGGCTATACCTCCCGAGGCCAAGAACATGCTGTTTGTCTGTCCTCACAGCCAACTAGTGGGGAGAGGCCAGACAGAGAAAAACAAAGGTAGGAAAGGAAGAAATATCATCTCTTCAGCCTTTTCTGAGGTCTCTTGGAACAGAATTTTGGGTGCTGGGCTATATAGGTATAGGTTTAGGGGTTGCAAGGGACAGGGACTCAGGAAAGGCTTCTGGGACTACAGCTATGCCCCACCTGCCTGTTATCCGAGGGCCCACCCTGGCCCAGCCCTGGAGCCCAGGCCAACATGACTAGGCCCCCTCAGTCCCTCAGGGCATCCCATCTCCACACCCACCCCATCGCTCTCCCACAGCGAGGCAGTGCCTGTGCAGACACAGATGCATGGGTCACTCCATGACAACAGAACACGCGAGTGTATGCTTGAAACGTACAAAGCCCCCCTCAATGGGGTAGATGCCCACAGTGGGGGCATAAGGAGACTTGAAGTCTAGCCTAGCCCTGCAGGATCATGTGCTTGTCGGCCCAGGGGCCAGGCTACTGGGGGTACCACCTGGACTGCTCCAAGCCCTGCAGCTCTTTCCAAGGGCCCCTCCCTCAGCCCACTCCTTGTTCTTCCCAAAGGGCTATGGGTAGGTGGCCTGCTTCATTCAGGCCTGTCCCAAACACAAAGTCCGCCTTACCGAACATGCCCTGGTGATTACCTTAGCTCCTCTCCAGGGCAGGCCCCCTGGGAGACCTGTGAGCCCGGCTCAGGCTGGGTTCTGGCTCATCGCAGGACGCCATGTGAGACAGGCCCTCTGTAAATCAGCCCTGTTCCATGCTCCCCGCTCCGTTAACCACCCCTGCCTTTGCAACTCTCCCCATCTGTATGACGAGCCTTTGCTCTGGGACATCTTACACAAGAATGTTCTGGGCTCCTGGAACCTGTTTGGGGAGCTGGGAAGAGCTTCAATTCCATGTGTGCTGACCAGGGGACTAGACAAGCTCTGGAGACAAATCATGGCGGGCAGGACTGAGGGATATCCTGGGGAGAAAGAGGAATAAGGTGTCGATGCCACCTGACTCTCCTGGGCTGGGGCTCTGTGTCCCAGAGTTGTCACACAAGCTTTTTCAACAGTGGCAGGGAAAGAGGTACCCAGGGGGCTCTTGGGAGCCAACTTCTCAGTGTAAGAATGGTTCTGTGCAGCCTGGCTCCATTTCTGTGCCCAAGAAAAGGCATGTCAGGAAGACACTCTGCCAGGAATGCCTTTCCTATACTGTCTTGCCACTCAGTGCCCCAGAGCTGCTGCTTGCGTGAGCTCTTGCCGTAGTGGACACTCCCCCCTTGAGTTCCCCGACTGGGCCCAAGTGCTGCCTGTGCACGCTGAGCAACGAACGCCCTTCTGCTGATCTTGTCGGGAGAGACCCCAGACTCCAGTTCTGTGAGGCAAGTCTCTCTCCCAGTTCCTTACCCACTCTGAACAAGCAGAGCGCTCTCCGTTCCAGTGTCAGATGACCACCCCTGCCTCTTCCCCACACCTACCCCTCCTCTGTCCTGAAGCACCCCTCACTGCAGCAGTCACTCATCATCAGCAGTGACTGTCACTGGTGGGACAGCCCCTGGGTGCAGAGCCCTGGAGGGGACAGAGGATGTGAGAGGACTCAGCCTCAGAGGAGAGGGACAGACAGAACACAGAACCTGATGTGCCACCAGAGGCATCTTTCTAGATGCTCTGGCTCTACTCTTTTCACCAGCAGAAAAAGAGCAGCTCAGCAGACCTTCCCAGACAAGTCACCTGCCCTCCCACTGGTCAGGCTTTGAGGGCAGAGGCCCAGCTGGTGGCATCAGCATGAAGCTGGCTAGGTGACAGCTGTTACTGACCCATTGTGCTCTGAGGGAGGGATTTTTTTCCTGCCCGGGAAATGCTTATATGGTACCACCCACCCTTCTTTGTCCAGGGAAGCGCGCGCGCGTGCGTGCGTGCGTGTGTGTGTGTGTGTGTGTGTGTGTGTGTGTGATTTTGCAGAATCAGCCTTCTGCTCTGGCACCTAGCGACCAGCTACACTGTCAGAGAGGGCTCCATTAGAACTGAGCAGGCTAGAACTTGAGCCCCATCTCCTGGCTTTCTCTTCCTCCCTCCAGCACCTTATTAGCGCCTGCTGTTGAGTGCTGAGCTGGAAGGAAGGATGCACAGGGAGCCAACAACCAACTGAAGAAAGTCAGGCCCTTTAGGGCAGCAGGAGGTGAGGCCGTGAGCAGGACAGAAGCTCTGGGTGTGCAGAGGAGGACTAGGTCTCATCCTACTGGCGAGCCTGGGGGCCTGAAGCCCACTAAGCCTTTCAAAGGCTAGTCATTGGCCAACTCCAGGGCCCTTCTCTTCAAGGTTAAGGGATGAGAATGAGGAGCTGAGTAAATGTGCACCTGATTTACATCTGCCTACACAGAATTATGCCATCCGTTTGCAGGCAATTTTCAAGTTAAAATGTTGTCAGAAGGTTGTCAGAGTTTTGATCTTTCTTTTCTGTTCTTTCTCAATCCACCCACACTTTCTAGTTAGAATGGCAAGGGGAGAGAGGGGGATAGAGCCTGGTTTAGATTCAGAGATTTTGGGAATCTTTAAAGTTAGATAGGACTTTTTTTTTTTTTTTTTTTTTTTGTGCTTTTATTTTTTTTTTTTTTTTTTTTTTTTTATAAATTTTATTGTTATATTCCCCATACAATTGCAGCCCCCCATTCTGACCCCAATCCCTCCCCTCCCGCCCCCGCCCGCCTAAAAGTGTCTCTGGTTCATAGTTTTTTGTTGATTTTGATTTTCACTTTCTTATAGTTATTCATTTTCCTGGTCCCTTATTTAAGTTTTCTAGATTCCTGCTATGAGTGAGACCATCCGGTATTTTTCTTTTTCTTTTTGGCTTATTTCGCTGAGCATGATCCCTTCCAGTGCCATCCATGTTGCTGCAAATTGCATGTGTTTATCTTTTTTGAATGCTGAGTAATATTCCATGGTATATATGTACCACATCTTCTTGATCCAGTCATCTATTTTTGGGCATTTGGGCTGTTTCCAAAGCTTAGCTATTGTAAACAGTGCTGCTATAAACATAGGGGTGCAGGTGTTCTTTGGAATTGATGTTTCTGTGTTTAAAAAGTCTCTAGTCTTCACTGAGGAAAATTCAGGGGCACAGCCCAGTCACAACTGTTCCATCGTTGGCTGAGCTGTTGCGGGGACAAGAGTCCAGGCCAGATTTGCTAACTCAGATATGCTAAAGAATCCCATTGCTTGCTCCTTCTAACTACCACCAGCTTCACTCATCTCTAAATAAGGGAAGCCAACAGCACGCTCGCACTCAGGCCTCCTTCTCTCACAGTGGGCCAGGCACTCTCTCAGCTGCCGCGCACACTTTTTATTTTTTTTATTTTTTTTTTTAATAGAGGCATGTTTTATTTATTTATTTGTTTGTTTGTTTGTTTTTGTTTATACATGCACTGGGTACAGTCAGAGGCGCGGGAGGGTGAGAGAACTCACCAGAGCCAGAGCGGGAAGCAGAGCAGGCAGAAGGACCGAAGTACACTGCTGAGGGGAGCAGCGGGTGGCAGGAGAGGTCTGCGCGCCATGTGGGACCCTCCTCCAGTGGCCGGGGAGCAGCCGGGGATCGAACTGGTGCCGCAGAGGCCGTGGGCAGCTTCGCAACCCAGCGCTCAACCGCTGCGCCACCGGGGAGGCCCCCGCGCTCACTTTTAGATGAGACAGGATAATGAGTGTGAAAGTACTTTGGAAAATTTTGTAACATAAATGCCCAGGATTATTATTATTGCAATACCAAAGCAATTATTGGTACAAAAGAAGGACAAGCAGTCAGAGCTCGATGTTCCGGAGAGCAGGAAAGAGGACTAAGGGAAGAGAGACAGAAGGGGGAAAGGGCTGCTTACTCGGGTCTACGTCCTGCTCACTGACACAGCCCAGTCATTGTCAGATAAAGGAATGTGGAGATTGTGAATTTATCCAGGAACCTAGAAGCCTCTGGTGTCTGGGGGCCAGGAGATGGTTGTGAGAACTGGCAGAGGCAAGCGGCGCGGTCTGAGGATCATTTCCTGTCTTCAGTCCCGTCCTGTCTCATGTTTATGAAAG